CCTCGTCAACAACTGTCAAACATTTCCAAACACCCTCCCCCCTATTTTGTTGACGTACTTAATGGACCCCCCCCCACTTAATCTTATGTGCACTTTTTCACTTTGGTGTCACCCCCGAGATTGATATATAAAGAGAGAGAGAGAGAGAGAGAGAGAGAGAGAGAGAGAGAGAGAGAGATATCCTTAGATTTGGTAAACCCCAATGTGTGCTTTTGGGATAAGTTAAATAATTTATTTTTCGGGAACCCTTGGGTATTATTTTCTCAATTATATCTTATTGGACAGGAAATTTTGTTATCTTTACAATTATATATTTGAAAATCCACATTTTTCATATATATATGATTCTTTATGCACAATATCAATAGTGACAGTAGGCTGCAAGAAGTATTAATTATGTGAATAATTATCTAAAAAGTAAAAATAACATTTCTTTTCAGATGGTCTGTGCGGCTTCGTGGAAAAAATGTTTTGGGCCCACCGAGTTAAAAAGGTTGGAAGATTTCCCTTGTCTCAGAACTTGAATAATTATTCAATTTATTATTGTCACGCGGCTTTCAGTGGGTCTATAAAATGTTATCATTATTAGAATTTAAATGGAGCGTTAACTTATATCTCGATAACTAGCCTTATTAAAAGCTTTTTTTTTTTGTTTTGTTGGTTTTCTTTTCTTTTTACCCGGAAGCAATTACTCATTCAATGACCCCCCCCCCCACATTAGTTAGTGGTTAGTCATCCAATTTGTTAAAATTAACACAGTTAAATAACGCCCAACTCGTAAGTTATAAATTTCCACGCAAGTATTTAATAAAGAAATTAGAACCCTTTTGGTAACTATTTGCCATTCATGTCAATACTGAACTGCCAATGTCAATATAGCCTACCGTATACTACGCCGGTAATCTCTTACTCTTACTTAGTCTTGTGACTTATGAAGTCAATTCAAATTCAATCATCATTTTTTTTTCAATCTGTGCAATCAAATAGTGAATAGCAAAACGTATTAACTTATATTCATTATTATTTAAAGACACATCTATTTCGCAAACACCTTCTGGGATGATTGTCAACATTATTTTCCAGTTAATGCATAATGGCTGTGTTGCTTATGGTTGAAATGGCTAGAAAGACTTTGCCATTGTATGCTTGTACTTAGTTTTTGTCGTGTTGCGTTTGTTTTAAATGTGGTAAACTATAGATTTGTTTTTTGTTGACTTTGTACCGCGCTTCGAGCCTTTGGGGATGAAGCGTGTTTTTGAAATGAACTTTATTATTATTATTATTATTTGAAGGATGTTAAGTCAAATACGCTCTGTTTGTCCCAAAACAAAAACTATTAGTATTAGACCTAGTAATTACTAATAATAATAAGTAGTTAAAACGGTGAACAATTTTTACACTCCATTAATTATTAATATTAATTCATTATCATTAATTGTTTTATTTGTTATTTTGCCATCAAATTCCAATGAGTATTTTGTCAATATTTTAATTTATGGCATGGGTAAATTAATGTTATAACAAGTTATATTGTTCGTCCTTCCGCCATGCTAGAATGTCCACAATGTCCACAAGGCTATTATAATTATATTAGTTGTTACACAGTGACAGTGAGAGTATTCAGGTGGCCTGTCAGTTCTATTTGTGCCTGAAAATCTTTCCCATATGTGGAACACACATTGTTTTAAGTCCTAGTAGGATTTGAATAATTTGAGTTTGAGTCAATTCTACTTTTCCTTGCAATGCGTTTTCTCTAGGAGTGAGTGATGTACTTATACTAATTCTCTGAGGATTGTGCTCATTTGGCTTGTCCTTTTGTAGGAACCTGTGGATGCTGATAAAATCAGACCGTTTTAGGACCTCTGTATAGGGACTCGATCCTGCTACCTTATGCCAAGAAGTTTATGTAGGCAGTATAGGTGGAGATGGCTTAGCTATCTAGCATGTCTGCTGTATACTTTCAATTTCTCTCTAGCATACAGAAGAGATGTTAAGACGAATGCCCTATACTATATTTTATATATACTTTCAGCTTAGTGACAAGAATGAGATACTTTTGCTCCCAAACACTCTTGCTGAGCCTTCCCAATGTAACATCTGCTTAGGAAATTCAGTTATTGATCATTGTAATGTACGAGTACAGGGAAAATGCAACAAAAAAAAATTGAATCCCTTTGAAAATAACAAAAATATAAGACAAATGGCAAATGGAAATAAAAAAATACTTGTTCTTAATTTTAAAATACTTAATTAAGTTAATAATGATTACTCCTGCACTAAAATAAGAGATTACGACCTTCTACTTCACTTTTCTGTACACTCACACTGTACTTTGTATTCATACTTTGTATTCATTCTGCCTATACTCTAAGTTGGGTTATGACTATAGATAGGCTATGGCTATGATATTATATATTGCCTAAAGCTATGCCTATGCCTCTAGTCACTGTAGTAGGTACTACAAAAACTCAATCATGCATACATTCTGTGCCCATCGAAAACTAATGCAAAAACTTTTGTGGCAATATATATTATCTGGCTAATAAATTATTTTGCATCAGTGATGTAGAGCACATATAGAAAAATGTGAGCCTCACTGATAAGAAATGTTTACTGATGTAAACCTATAAATTTATTTTAAAATAAATTGCTTGGCAATGCTAGAAAAGACTGTTTAAAATAAATGTAAAAGTTAACAAAAATTGTTTTTTGTGTGTGTTGATTATTAGCTTATTACTACACAATAACAAATGTATTCCACTTGGTAAGTTTTATTCTACAATGTTTAATCTCTAGGCCATAATAGACTATAATTAAATTTGCTAAAAAATATGGTAGGCCTATAGATACTATAATACATATAGCATTATTTTTTCCTCTAAAATTAACTCTTATTTTCATTATTGATTAATTAACTATTGAGTTACTATGATAACTTAAAAATCAGCATCAGTATCATCCAATTATGGCTTTAGTAGGTCTTCTTATTTTTCTAAGTTTAGGAACTTTATGCATAAGACTGTGACAAGTTGGCATCAGTTTCAACCAGTGATTTTTTAATTTATTTTTGTAAGAAAACTTATATTTTTTATATAAAAAAATATATTGTCAAATCATTTTAATTAAATCCACTGAAAATAAGTGCTTTAATACCATTCCACCATGCTCTAGGACTATGACAAAGCAATCATTTTTTTTTTAAACCTCTCCATTAATTAATTATGTTATGGTGGTTCAGATTGTATAGGGCTAAATTAAAATTATTTTATTTTAAGCACATTATTGAGATTGAATTTTTAAAAACATTTTTGGATATTATTGCAGGCCTTTCATATAAAGGTAGCATTAGCATGTCTATCAATATCCTAATTAAAAATACATTTGTAAATACCTTTACAAAATTGTTTTTGTGTATCTTTTGAAAATTAAATAAAGTTAATTTTGGTCTGTTTTAAATAAAAACACTTCATTCATAAGTAACAATTTTTTTAAATGTATACAGTTAGGTTTCTAGCTTATTTTTGTTATCAGTAATTATATGGAGACACTGTCATACAATTTGTCAATTTGCTTGAAAAATGAGTTTCTTACCAGACATATAGTAATTTTATAGATTAAATTAAGTCTTTGTGGAGTCCCTCCAGTTATAGCAGAAATGTTTTTTTCAAGTTTTCTCTACATATTTTACTATCCGTCTGTGTAGCCACAATTAAATTTGTAAGCTAACTTGTCCAGAATTAGTAGCAGAAGGGTTTTAAAGTCAGCCTTCATAAAATTTGAACAAAAATTGAATACATGTACTAAATTCTTCTTAATAGTTTTTACTAAGAAATGAAATTGTGCTATGCATCATATATTTTTAGGCACCTGGTCTTTATATTGCCATCCAATAAACTTGTGTAGGTATCTTATAAATCTTAGGTTTGAATAATGGCACAGCAGCCCTATCCTCAGGCTGGAATATATCCACCAGTTAGTGGACCCCCTCCACCATACACTGAAGCTCCACAACCAGTTCCTCAACCTGCAGCTCCTCAACCTGCAGCTCCTGCACCTCAACCTGTAAGTTTCACTTATTTTATATTTTTCCTATCTATTTACATTGCTTTTTAACTTCATTTCTATTTACTCGAGTGATGGTTATGCATTTGTTTGTCTATATATCTTTAGTCAAAATTTATCCAAGTTCCAGTTATCTTGGAGAGCTGAAAATCATTTCAAAGTTTGCAAATTAGCTTTGCCAATTTCAAAACATAAGTGTTTAAAATGTTTAAACTGAGTATGAATCAACATAACTACTAATGTAGTGCAGTGCCTTAAAAACGGGTAATAACTTCAAGTAAATTAAATGGCACTTTTCACAGGTGGTTAGCCAAGGGCTGATAATGTAAATATTGTGGGCTACATTTTCATTCAGGCCAATTCTTTTTAAAATTTGTGACTCAACAACTTCAATGAGTATGAGATTTCCTTAATTGAAAAGCAACATTTATGGTGAGACATTATAAAAGAAGACCCCCCCCCCCCACCACCCTTGTTTTTTTTCTTGTACTTATAATTAAATTAAATCATGTGTTACATTATACTTAATTTCCTTAATTGAAAAGCAACATTTATGGTGAGACATTATAAAAGAAGACCCCCCCCCCCACCACCCTTGTTTTTTTTCTTGTACTTATAATTAAATTAAATCATGTGTTACATTATACTTAAATGTCATTGTTGGATGAGTAAGTTCTAATTTCTTATATGTATTATTTATACTTGTAAGTACATAGAATAATCTGTTGAATAATTTTTAATACAGTTAAATATAAGTATTATAAGCTTTAAATCACAAAGCTTTCTGTGTTGTATTTAACCAATCTAAAAAACTCATTTTTAGGAAAACAGCTATTATGTACAAATAATGTAATTTTTTTACTGCAATATGTTACATGATCTGTCTGCTCTCAGTTAAAGTAATAATAGAAATAGGTTCCTCGACATTGTTTGGCAGAGTTGTGTTGGCTTATTGGAATGGATTATATCTAAATTACATGTGTATTGTTTATATTATAATTGTCAAAACTTTTATTTTTCTTTTAATTTAGACTGTACATGTAGAACAGAAGAAGGAAAAGGTAATATTTTTATTTATTTTTCTATTTCAGAAATGTCTCACTTAATAAACCTTAGGCATTTGATAACAAAAAAAAAAACTTAGGTATTTGATGATATAAATTTGAGGACAAATAAAACCTTAAGTATTTGATGGACAAATAAAGCTTTAAGCATTTTGGAAAAATAAAACTGTAGACATTTTTGGACAAATAAAACTTTAGGCATTTTTGGACAAATAAAACCTAAGGAATTTGTGGACATATAAAACCTTGGGCATTTGATGACAAATAAAACAGGCATTTGATGTTCAATAAAACCTTATGTATTTGATGACTAAAAAAAACTTTAGGTATTTGATGATTACCAAAAATACAGAAAACTCACTTAAATCACAAATAATGATAATATTTGATTTTAATTAATTAATTGTTTAGGAAATAGATCTAATCCCTTTTGCTCCAAACTACTACAGTAAAGTATAATGTTTAAACATGAAATATATCAAGTTGTTTTAGTTTTAATTATTCAAACATTATAAAATTATATGACAAAATTTGCTTTTCACTTGAGACTCAGCCTCTAGTAATTTACTTTGCAGACTTACATATTTACCTGAGAAATTTGTTTTAATACATATCTGTTTTTGCAGAAAGGGGGATTTTTCTCCAACTTAAAAAAAGAAGCAGAGAAAGCTGGTAAATCATTGGGCCATGAGCTTGACAAAGCTGGGAAATCTATCAACAGTGCCGTTGACAGGAACTACCAGTCTGCACTTATGGTCAGTTGGGAATATAGAGCTTGAAAGAAAATTAATTACTGAAAATTAATGTCTAATACAGTGGAACCTGTGAATAGTGAAGCTAATGAGCTGACTCACCCACCCCCACAAACACCACACATGAATTTCTAAATAAAAATCCCTTAAATTAGTATAAATCCTGTGCAATGGACTGTTTTATGGATTTAAAAATTTGATCAGTTTTAAGATTGGGCTTCTTAGCTGAATGGTACTTAATAAAGAACTGGAAACCAGTATACAAAGAAAAACAATACCAAAGCTAGTGATATTAAAAATAATTAATTTAATTATACTATAAAGCTAATACAAAAATAAAAAATCAAATATACCAGCACTGAGAAAAAAACTATATTGACTTACAGCACTGCAAGTGACAAAGTATAATACTAGAAAGGTACAATTATTAATCCACACACACACAGGGTAAAAGCTTGGGTCTCTAGTCATGTATATTTGGTCAGTCTGCGTAGGTCACAGTCGACTATCTTTGTTATATACAGCCTAGTGTAGGGCTTGGCTTATTATTACATTTTAAAATAGAAATTTGTAGCCACCACAACTTGTCTGCTAGTATGACCTTGATATTGACATCACCAAGTCAATGTGCTGTGTCACTCCTTCCTTTTCCAGCCTCTTTCTTGGCTAGGAAAAGGTTGTTAACATTTGAAGGCATTCCATTTATTCTAAAAAATGCCATTAAGGGAAGCCATTTCTAGAATTTCTGCACTAGAACATTCCGATATATGTATAGACTGCGTGCTTTCTTAGCAGCGAGACTAAGTTAGAACAAGACAGATAGAGCAAGAGAGAGATTTTTGCTATATGAGACTTTTCACTGTGTGTGTGTAAATTAATATTTGTATTTTGAGAAGTGTATCTTTTTTCACTTGCTTTAAGAGGATATAGTTTTTTTTTTATTCTGTTCTTAAATTTTTATTAGCGTAGAAATGTATTTTTATAATTAAATAAAATATTGTCAGTATTAGTATCACTAGCTTTGGTATCATTTTCTTTGCATACTGTTTTATCAGTGTTTATTATATAACACAAAATTTTAAAACAGGTTAAATCTTCAAAACCAAAACAGTACGTCACATAGTCATACCCCTCTGAGGGAGTCAGAACCCTCACAGAACATAAAGTCTAGAAATTAAACCATCAGTGTGAGTATTTTCCTCTATGTAGACCTTTCTGGAAATGTAAACAAACTTTCCCAATCAAGTGCGGTATGGGAAAGGAATGGCTGTATGTGACATCAAGTTATTTTGTGACATCAGTAACAAAAATAAAAGGAGAGTTACGGGATGCATGCCATGTCTTGACACTACACAGAGTGAAAAAAAAAGGATCTACACACATGCTATAACACCTGTCAAACTTGACATATGCAAGGGTTGGGGTGAGAAAAAATCTTTATTTTTCTCATAAATAGCACTTGCCTTGCAGTGCTTACAACAAATTACGCCAGGTATAGTGTGTGACATAGAACTTTTGGTTTTGCCCCAAGTATTCACAGGTTTGTTGCACTGCATACTATTTATGATAGGCATCAAAATTTAAAAGTAATTTGAACGTATTTTGACACTCTGACATTACCAAATGCAATAGAATCAGTGTCTCTCAAGCATGATGTTACTACACCCCATAACTAAAAAATAAATCCAGTTCAACTAATATTTTTCCCTGTTTTGAATAGTTTTATACAAACAAGATATTAAAGCTTTGTAACATGTTTAAAAAAAAATATTTTCAGGATTTATTTAAAACTGGAAATGTTGTCCAGTTGGTCTCAAGGGTGACCGGTCGTTCCTTACAAATAGTCATTAATTCCTTAGGGCAGATGGTGCTGGATGCTAACGGCTCACTTGATCCTTCCGCATTCAATAGTAAGTTCTAAGAAAAACACCAGTAAAATAGAAGCAATTTGTTAAACTTAAACTATGGAATTGTAGTACCGGTAAAAATAAAAATATTAAACTCTTCAAGCTAAGCCAATCAAGTTTTTAGTTTCTTTTTTAAATTCTCAATGAATAGGTTTTTTTTTGTTATCTGATTAAAAACTGTAAAAAAAAAAAAAAAAAAAAAAAAAAAAAAAAAAAAAAAATAAAAAAAAAAAAAAAAAAAAATTAAAGGTTTATTCCCAAGTGGTATATTTCCAGTTAAATGTATCATGTGAATACTGGTTTAAAAACTGTTACATTCTGTATATTACAATGTATAAAAACTGTTACATTCTGTATATTACAATGTATAATGTGAGAAATTTAGGGTAAAAAAAGGTTATTTAAAATTAGTGATTTGCATTATACGTACATGTAAGACATTAACGTTATCTGTAAAGGAAATGTCCCTAATGCCCATGCAACCAAAGCATCTTAGCCCTCTTGCATTTGGCTACAGATTGTGCGTCATGTCTGGGTTTAACACCAGTGATGTAAAGAGTGGCCTTCTGATAGGATATTACATAATTATATTGGTATAGTCACGGTTGCTTTTAAATGGTATAATTTAAAAGGCTTTTGACATCTTTCCCTATTAGTGAATATTTATTTTGTTATTATGTATTGTAGCATCATGGATCAAGATTAACAAATCCCTGTTAGGGCTTTTTTCATTAAAAAAAAGTTAGGCTTTTGCACTATAAATGGATTCCTTTATAAGCGGTAATATACAGGAGTTAAAAAATAACAGTGAAACGATCTCATGTGAAAGAAGTGTAAACCATTTGTCTAAAGGGAAAACTAGCGACTACGCTTACTCCTCCTTTCTTCATTACATTAAAAAATTTAATCATCCCACAGCACTGTGGACGGTGACAAATGAAGGCAGCAACCAAGTTCGTTTGCAAAACTATCATAACTACATAGCTGTTGTTGATGGCATAACCTTAATAAGATCATATGTAAGTAATAATCGAGTGTTCTAAGATATATTTTGTTGAGCATATCTAAATATATTTTTTCTGACAATAATTTGATTTATTGGAACATATCTAAGCAGATTTAGAGTTTTCTTTAATTAAATGTATTCATTAGATCATATCTATATAGAAATTGAAAGTTCATATTATAGATAGTCAATGAAAAGAAGAGATGTTAGTTTCAATTATATATATTTTTCCTTTCTGGGCAATCTTAGTAATAATTAAAATGGATTTTGATAATAACTTAACATCAAACATATTTTTGTTTAAATGTAATCTGAATTTAATTTTTTTTTTTAAAATTAGCTTAAATATATTTAATCTTATTCAGCTGGTTGCATTTTGAGGCAAAAAAAATTCTTTTTTTAAACATATATTTTAAAATTATTTGATGGTAATCACTGATTGATTTATGCCCTAACTGGCAATGTTACTATTCCCATCTTGTACATTATCTTTTGAAGCCTCCAGGCACGCCACTTGGATTAGATACCAAGTTTCAGTTGAGTCAAGCTCAGACCCAGTTTGTAACCCTGGAGTCGATTAAAGAACCCCAGCGCCATGTTGGATTTTTGTCAAATGGTGAACTGAAGCCAGCGTTGACCACAATCAAGGAACCAGCATCTCAACTTGGAGTTAAACTTTTGGTAAGGACATGGTACTTAATTTTCATGTGATTAGGACTATGTGTGTAGAAATCCTGAAGAATGTTTTTTGTTTATCACATTAAATATATAAGCGCAAATGCCTTTAATATAGATAAAAAAACAACTCACTGGTATGAAGTTCTTTGCTAATTAAAAGTAACTTAGTTTTATAAAAGTGTTTTAAAAATCATTAAAGTTTGTTTTTAGGGGTACTCCTAAAGTTCAGTTTGTAAATTTATCAAAAGTAATTTTCTTTCAAGAAAAGGAAATCAGAACTGACTGTGTTTGGGAATACAATTATATTTTAAACAATTTTGAAAAAAATAATCAAACAAGAATTGCGTAGTTATTAGTATAAAAACTATATAGATTCATTGCTTTTATTTATTAGTTATTATAATCAAGCTATAAAAAAAATAAAAAGAATTGACTAGTTATAAATAAAAAAAAAACTATATAGATTCATTGCTTTTATTTATTATTAGTTCTTATCTAAAGTGTAAAATTCATTTTCATCACAGCTCTATACAAATGTTAAGCCAAAAAAATTAGTCTCCCAGTTAAACACCCCCCTCCCCCCTTTCTACTTTTTTTACAAGTCCTTGTATTTGAAAATTTTCAGTCCAGTGGTATTCCAGCACCGGTAGCTACTACAGTCTCAGCACATAAGTAAGGTCTAGCGTCATCATTGGTTGTTACAGTTCTTGTCAAGAAATATCTACAACAGATTATTACAGATTGGAACTTTGAACTTAATCTGTTTTCTGTGCATTGACTTCAGAGCTGTTATGAAGACTGGTACAGCTGCATTTTTGTTGTTTTTTTGTTTTGTTCCTATATAAACAGTTAAACTGGATAGTTTCTGTATCTGCATGTATCATCTTTATCTGCATGATGTGCTCCTTGTGTTCAAATTAATACTTACCATACGAGTCCTGTCAGCTGTTTAAGGGGGTATTTGTTCTTGTTTAGGTGTAAAAAGTAGAAAAGAGCTTTACCTGTTGTTGATGTTTTTTTAATGTAGCCATTAAAAAAGAAAATAATTTTTTATCTAAAAGTGTGCTAGGAAATATAGCAGCTGAAACGTTTTACACAAAGCTTTACAGGGACATAATTTCCTCTTATACATTGATATATTGAATAGAACAATTTACATAAATTCATTTTGTTTTTACTTGATGCGGTTGGGGGGGGGGGTGTCTTTTAAATGAAGGTAAATGTTAAGTACTAATTGTGCTGTTAAAGTTGATAGTGTTTGAAAAATTTATATTGCTGTAATTGATTTAGTTAGACAGATCATGATGAACAAAATATTTAATAGGTGATAAGTTGAATTAATTAAATTTTTTTTTGTTAAATACAATCCAGTTGAACTTGTTGCTTGGACCTGGTTTCATTGAGTGACTTATTAATTGATCACATTTCAGTGAAGTATAGTATATACTACTCTTAAATTTTAAAGTGGTGTGTTGGAAACAGCTAATAAAAGCTTATGCCACCAAAAAATTTTATCTTGAAATCAGAAATGAAGAAATTATCAGGCATAAACTTCAGGGGACTTAATTGATAAATGAATAAGAGATCATTTTTGCTGTGCGTTGTGACATTTAACATACTTCCATTTCTATCATTCCTCTTGTAAGATTTTTTTGTAATCTTTGAGTCGAGTATCTATCATTCCTTCATTCATGATTTTTATCTTATCTTAATATTGGGAATGGAGTGGCATTTGCAATCTGTTGTAAGTATAGTTTTATCAGTGAGTGGCATTTGCAATCTGTTCTAAATATAGTTTTATCGGTGAGTGGCATTTGCAATCTGTTCCAAGTATATTTTTTATCAGTTTATTTTAAATATTTTTATTGAACCATTTTTTATGGCCATAAGATATTCAGTAGTTGGATTTTGAATAAGTTAAAGAATACTTTATTTTAATAATCAAATACTCTTTTCGCAATATTTCCTTGAGAGAATTATTAGTCTATAATTTAATTTGAAAGCTATTTTTGAGTGAGACCATTTGTATGGGCATTTACAAATCTTAATGTTGCCAGTTAGGTCTGCAGTGCAGAAAGAAAATAAGATGAATGTAAGTTATTTTATTCCTGAGATAATATGATCATTGTCCGTAACACCTTCTGTGCTATCATTTGAGATGTTCAAACTTTAAAAAATATCTATACCTTATCATTGGTAATTAAATAATTTGAATTTTGAAAATTCTAATGTTAAGTTTATTTAAAATGTCACGATGTATATAATTTATTTGTAAACTCCAGAATTTTTAGTTTTGAAATAGTGAATAGTCAGGTGAATGGTCCATCGACTATTACTAAACATATGATTAAAAATGTTTTAGCTAAATCATCTACTTTCATCATCTTGGTACTGTTTCAGTAATGTCTGGTCGTCATTCTGTTCGTACTGTAGAGAACACCTAGAACAACATGGTCACTTCAAATGCATTAAGTGTGCTGGAAAATAAATGCGACTTTTAGTGAAATCTCGCCTTTTAACATTAGCAGATTTGAGCATAAATAGGTTTTACTTTTCCCCTCCTGGGATTATTACATAAAACCATATTATGCAACTCTTCTTTGTCTCTACCACGTACTTGGAACTGTAAGCCTTTCATAACCTTACAGACTTGTTTTAGAAAGACATTTTCTGTTGAAATTGAAATCTTTTTTTCTATCTAGTTTCACCTGTGATCCAAAGAACCTGTGAACTTTTACACCACAGAAGTTCTCTTTGTTACTTCATCTTCATTGCAACTTGTAAAGCAAACATCTACATTTGTTAAAGAATGATATATGATGCTGAGTCCAACAGTTTCTAAATTCAAAATCTTATCCTGTGTTGTTTTTTTAAGAAAAAAAATCCCATTTTTTAAAGAAAAAATTCCCACTGTCCTGAATGTTGTTACTGATTTAATTTCATAATGGAAAGTTAAAATAAGATTAATCATAACCTTTGGTCATCTAAATCTTTTCCCCCCATCTTTTTTTAATTTTTTTTTTATACTTGTAATTAGTATTGTCTAAAATCATAGAAGAGAATTGTTCTGCAAAGTTTCTTTGTCTCGTAAGCCAAGCATGTTTATTATCAGTAGTTCACATATTTATACTTAAACAGTTATTTATTATTTGGTGCTTTATTTTGGAATGCTCTTGTATATTAGATTATTTTTAACCAATTGTATACTCAATCAAATACATCTTGAATTAACAAACCTGTTTGTTTTGTTTTTGTGGAGGTAGAATATGTGCTAAGCTGCTACCACCTGTGTGGTTAATGTCAGGCAGACGCTATGGTTTATATCAGGGGCTTTGCATAGCTTTACATTGGTGCAATCCCTAGGTTTACATTGGTGCAATCCATAGGTTTACACCGGAGACATCCAACTGCTTTCGGGGGAGAGGAGGGGATAGAATGGCTTATGTCAGGGGCATTTCAAGGCTTTTGTCTGGGTCATCTAATGGTTCATGTCAGGGGCACATAATGTTTTTTTTAGGGCATCTAATGGTTTATGTTTGGGCATCTAATGGTTTATGTTTGGGCATCTAATGGTTTATGTTTGGGCATCTAATGGTTTATGTTTTGGCATCTAATGGTTTATGTTAAGGCATCTAATGGTTTATGTTTGGGCATCTAATGGTTTATGTCAGGGCATCTAAGGGTTTATGTTTTGGCATCTAATGGTTTATGTTAAGGCATCTAATGGTTTATGTTTGGGCATCTAATGGTTTATGTCAGGGCATCTAAGGGTTTATGTTTGGGCATCTAATGGTTTATGTTTGGGCATCTAATGGTTTATGTCAGGGCATCTAATGGTTTATGTTTGGGCATCTAATGGTTTATGTTTGGGCATCTTATGGTTTATGTTTGGGCATCTAATGGTTTATGTTTGGGCATCTAATGGGTTATGTTTGGGCATCTAATGGTTTATGTTTGGGCATCTAATGGTTTATGTCTGGGCATCTAATGGTTTATGTCTGGGCATCTAATGGTTTATGTTTGGGCATCTAATGGTTTATGTTTGGGCATCTAATGGTTTATGTCTGGGCATCTAATGGTTTATGTTTGGGCATCTAATGGTTTATGTTTGGGCATCTTATGGTTTATGTTTGGGCATCTAATGGTTTATGTTAGGGCATCTAATGGTTTATGTTTGGGCATCTAATGGTTTATGTCAGGGCATCTAAGGGTTTATGTTTGGGCATCTAATGGTTTATGTTTGGGCATCTAATGGTTTATGTTTGGGCATCTAATGGTTTATGTCAGGGCATCTAAGGGTTTATGTTTGGGCATCTTATGGTTTATGTTTGGGCATCTAATGGTTTATGTTTGGGTATCTAATGGTTTATGTTTGGGCATCTAATGGTTTATGTTTGGGCATCTAATGGTTTTTGTTTTGGCATCTAATGGTTTATGTCAGGGCATCTAAGGGTTAACAAATTATGTTAAAAAGGCAGACTACGCTGGGCAGGACATGTTGAAAGGATGCCGGAATGCAGAGCAGCAACAGTTTTATACAGGCAGAAGCCTAGGGGGAGACGACTCACCGGTCGCCCAGAAGCCTAGGGGGAGACGACTCACCGGTCGCCCAAGTCTGAGATGGATTGATGATGTGGAGAAGGATTTACACCAGCTGGGGGTTCGCGCATGGAGGCGGAAAGCCATGGATCGCTCCCAATGGAAGGATGTGGTTGAGCAGGCCAGAGCCCTACATGGGCTGTAGTGCCACTGATAATGATGATGATATCTAAGGGTTATGTTCATGGCATCCAATATTTTATTTGTGCATTACTGCACTCATGTGCTTTAATAATTTGAAAACAAGAATCATTTAGGGTATTAAGACAGGAATGTTTGTTTTTACAATTCACGAATATTTGCACCAGCTGTGTCTGGAGGACATTGCTGCAATGCCATGAATGTTTGGAGGGCAAAGGTTAATGCGTCATCTTTAGGCACAGCTTTCGATCTTGAACATTACCGTGGTAAACATTTTTGAGACGGGTGAATTTTTTAGCTCCAAATTGACATATTTGCTCCGTGTAAAGAAAGTTTTGATAATTTGAACACGGGAATAATTTGTGATGTGTTGTTAAGGACGGAAAACAGATGCAACAAGTCTCGAATAGTGCAGAATAAGAATGCAACATTTGTGTTTCAGTTATATCATCAAGAAATGTTAGCAGAGCATTTCGGGATGTCTTGACAGGTGACGCCATTTTAACAACGACAGCCATCGCCAGGGACCATTCTAGCATGTAGAACAGCAACTCTAGCCATCGCCAGGGGCCATACCAGAATGTAGAACAGCAACTCCAGCCACCGTCAGGGACCATACCAGAATGTAGAACATCAACTCCAGCCACCGCCAGGGACCATACCAGAATGTAGAACATCAACTCCAGCCACCGCCAGGGACCATACCAGCATGTAGAACATCAACTCCAGCCACCGTCAGGGACCATACCAGAATGTAGAACATCAACTCCAGCCACCGCCAGGGACCATACCAGAATGTAGAACATCAACTCCAGCCACCGCCAGGGACCATACCAGCATGTAGAACATCAACTCCAGCCACCGCCAGGGACCATACCAGAATGTAGAACATCAACTCCAGCCACCGCCAGGGACCATACCAGAATGTAGAACATCAACTCCAGCCACCGCCAGGGACCATACCAGAATGTAGAACATCAACTCCAGCCACCGCCAGGGACCATACCAGAATGTAGAACATCAACTCCAGCCACCGCCAGGGACCATACCAGAATGTAGAACATCAACTCCAGCCACCGCCAGGGACCATACCAGAATGTAGAACATCAACTCCAGCCACCGCCAGGGACCATACCAGAATGTAGAACATCAACTCCAGCCACCGCCAGGGACCATACCAGAATGTAGAACATCAACTCCAGCCACCGCCAGGGACCATACCAGAATGTAGAACATCAACTCCAGCCACCGCCAGGGACCATACCAGAATGTAGAACATCAACTCCAGCCACCGCCAGGGACCATACCAGAATGTAGAACATCAACTCCAGCCACCGCCAGGGACCATACCAGAATGTAGAACATCAACTCCAGCCACCGCCAGGGACCATACCAGAATGTAGAACATCAACTCCAGCCACCGCCAGGGACCATACCAGAATGTAGAACATCAACTCCAGCCACCGCCAGGGACCATACCAGAATGTAGAACATCAACTCCAGCCACCGCCAGGGACCATACCAGAATGTAGAACATCAACTCCAGCCACCGCCAGGGACCATACCAGAATGTAGAACATCAACTCCAGCCACCGCCAGGGACCATACCAGAATGTAGAACATCAACTCCAGCCACCGCCAGGGACCATACCAGAATGTAGAACATCAACTCCAGCCACCGCCAGGGACCATACCAGAATGTAGAACATCAACTCCAGCCACCGCCAGGGACCATACCAGAATGTAGAACATCAACTCCAGCCACCGCCAGGGACCATACCAGCATGTAGAACATCAACTCCAGCCACCGCCAGGGACCATACCAGAATGTAGAACATCAACTCTAGCCACCGCCAGGGACCATACCAGCATGTAGAACATCAACTCCAGCCACCGCCAGGGACCATACCAGCATGTAGAACATCAACTCCAGCCACCGCCAGGGACCATACCAGCATGTAGAACAGAACAAAAAAAAACAAGTCGTCAAAACTGAACTGAACCAAACAATCTTTTATATGATTTAATGCTAAATTAATTCCTTGGCAAATGTATCGGGAGATTTTTCTAGAAAACCACTGGCTATGCAGATGCAACAATGAAAGAACACCTGCGCCGAAGGTCGCGAATGTTGGCACATTTCGTGTTTGAATAAACATTGTTGGAATGACCTACATGTTGGAGGGCAAGGGTTAATGTGGCCTCGTGCGGCCTAACTTTCGGATGTTGACATCACCATGCGTAACATTTTTAAAAACATATTTTGACACGGGGGAATTTTTAGGCAACATAGTGGCCCGTGAAAAGCTTAAAGCTTCGCATAAAAAAAATATTAAAAAATAAAAAGAATTCATTTAAACAGTTAATGTAAGATTTTTCATAAGTGTGGGATAAACTTTGCAAATTGATAAGTAGAGCAGCGTTTCCCAAATTTTAAGTTTTGAGGAACGGTGGACAAGTTTTGAAAATGAACCAGGGACCGGTGCCAGATTTATTTATTATATCTTTTTTTATGATAATAAATAAATCATGTTGTGCAGACCGGGAACTTAAGGGTCGCGGGCCCGTCACATAAATAACCTTGTTGATATGCGCAAATATATGTGTGCGCAGTTTTGGCCGTGCACAGTTTTCTGTGCACGATTTTCGTGTGCGCTTTTGCATAGCGCGCACTGAATCACAATGTACATGTACATATACCTGATTGCAGGCCCTATCTTTAATATTTGACAATCTTTGTCCAGCCGAATAAAAACATTATGTCACAAATAACGTTTGACTAAAGTTGTCACTAGGCTAAATATTAATGTTGCGATATCTAGAAAGTTTAACAGAATGACGATAATTAGGGATAATTGTTATATTTTTATAGCCTTCGAAAGTACTTAAAAAACATGAATGTCACATAATTTTGGCCAGGAGACAGTTGGCTTTATTAAATATATAAATAGACTTCTTATGCAATTTGTGGACTGTTGTACACTTTATGCATATACGTACGTACACGATCAGCGAAGATCCCCTTCCAGTCATTATTTCAGAAATTTTCCCCCGGGGTGAAATTCAGATTTTTCGGGGGGGGGGGGGGAGGGGCCGGTTGTTTTTTTTTTGGTAATATTTTTGCTCCGGGGGGATCGTGGCTTTCCCGGGGGGGG